TTTTGAACTGCTAGGTTGGCAGAAGCTAGGGCTGACAGCGGAAGCTCACGTCGCTCCCTGGAATTGAACCTGCGACCTTTCGATCAACAAGCTCAGCAGCTCAGTGCTTTAACGCACTGCGCCACCGGGGGCTCCGATCATACAATTAACAAGCCTTATATATAGCATCAAGGCATATAGTACACTTGGTGTTATATATGAACAATCTTTAAACGTGTGAGAGTTAAAACCTACTTGTATCAGATTTTGCAATAGATAAATAATAAAATTAATGTCTTTAAGTCACGTGAGCTGAGTGGTATTATTACATTAGCAAGGTCTGAGGTTTATTGAGGTTCATCTCTCGTTAAAAAAAGAGTGAGAGCAAAAGTCTTGGAGAGGCAGTCAAAACATAGACAATAACATGGGAAATTGAAATTATGGTCTAACTCATATGAGCTAACACATATGTAATTTTGGCAATTTTTTAAAAAATCTATTTTTGAATGTTAATGAAACTTTTTGAAAATGTGTTTTGTAGGGTATTGAATTGTGGCAGTTGAACACCTTGACTATAACAGTAATCTTATTTTGATAGTTGTTTCTAAACAAAAAATGGCCTATCAAAATAATAAGAATGAGGACAAAGAAGAGGAGAAAAAAAACTGATACTTTAAAAAGCTTCCTATAAACAGATATAGGTAAGGCATTTTTATCAGTGCCAGACTATCTATCGTAGCCATTGTTGTGTGTATGTGTATGTGTGTGTGTTGGGGTGGGGGGTGGGGGGTGGGGCTAAATGAGTCGTCTCCTAATTATGGATCAGATTCATTTGTAATTTACAGCCTTTTATATGATAATCTGAATATGATAATTTTATTTCTGGCTTCACAAAGTAGCTAGTTCTTTAGAACTTAAAGGAAATAAGACCCTGTTCTAGTGGATGCTACTATACGAAATTAGTAGCATGGGGATTATTTTAATTATGTAGCATGTGAAGACATATTTTCAAGGCACAATCATAGTAATTCCCATTAATGAGTGTTAATCCTCTCATCAACTACAAAGTGAACCACTGACTTAACTTTTCTTAAAAGGTTGAGAAGCAAAGCAATAATGGTGAGAGCCGTACTTGGTTTGATACTTTTCCTACTAAGTCATTGCTTCCAACACTTGATTCTAATGACAACTCCTTAGATCTCCTTTGGCTCAGTTTGGAGCTCTTTTTTCAGGCTTCCAGGACAGTGTTTCAGGATATATGAAATAAGTGTTAGTATCCTTTTTCTTAACTGTCAAAATTCAGATATGGAAATATAGACAATACTTAATATGGCACTATGTTTTGAGCTATGTTACAGTTTGTAACTGTAAACACCACACAGTGGATACATGGAACTGGTTTTATTCACTAAGTGTATTAGCATGGAATGATAAGCCATGGCTGCAAACCATAGTTCGCTCTTGGTTGAATATTTTGGACACAAAATGTTTCTGGATTATGTAGCTGCTCATTCTTGTGGGTGCAGCCAGCTGGGAGCAAATAGACTGTGTAGAATTCATAGTAAGCCAAGATTTGCTAGAATCTTGCTTTTGCGTATACACACACATACCCATATTTACTCGAGTCTAATGCGTCATCAAATCTAATGCACATCTCAATTTTCAAAACTCTGAAATAAAAAAAAAAAGCATTTGCTGATGAATGTTATGACAGCAGCGAAAGGTGCATTCTTTGTAATATGGCCATTACAATTTCTGCTTGCTTAGGGTTCCTTTGAAAACAGAAGTGTTAGAGCACCAAAGCTTCCAGCAATAGAAAAGAAAATCTTGGGGCACATCTATGCTGTAGAATGAATCCACTTGAGCTGCTTTGGTTCAATGCTATAGGGTCATGCGGCTGTAGTTTTACAAGGCCTTGAGCCTGCTCTGCCAAAGAGCATGGATGCCTCACCAAATTACAAATATCAGCATGGCATAACATTGATCTATGACAGTTAAATTACAGGTGACATGGCTCAAATAGGAGCTCCAAGTACTTCTGAAGCAGCTTCCCCTATTGCTTTGGTTCAGGAATAAGATCTATATCATGCAAATCTAATGCACACCCTAATTTCGGCAAGTTGATTTAGCCAAAAAAGGTGAGTGTTAGATTTGAGTAAATACAGTATACAAGGCAAGGGAAATAGTCTTTTGAATGGTGTGATGATTCATGAAAAAATACTCAAAATTTTAATATTTCAGAGGCTATTATTGAATTTTCAGTTTTCATATGTAAATTGGAAGATCCAAAAAGCTCTCAAGAATTCCATACCTATTATTTTATGTGTAAAAGAGCATACTGTCTTGCCTTAAAAGTCCAAGGTAACTAGTTTAGACATTTTAGGCTGTGGTAATATGCTCCTTGTAGTGAAACTAAGGGGCTGTCCAAAGCATGGAAAAGGTAGTTTGTAGAATTCTACTTTCAGCATTTGGGAAGTGGAAGGCCAAGCTCTGGAACCCTTCCTGGAGAAATTAGAGCAGCCCCTTCCCTCCTGTCCTTGAGAAGAATGATAAAAACTTGGCTGTGGGACCAAGCCTTTAGGACAGTGCAGTAAGGCAGCAATAGGAAACCTTATTATCCCAACCAGATTTGATTCGAATGATTGATGTGGTTTAAAGAATGGAGTTTAACATTAAGATAGAGGATTTTAATGTTTATGTATGTACAAGGTCTATTTATGCCCAACATTGAATGTTTGCCATGTATATGCTGTGCCCCACCCAGAGTCCCTTTTGGAGTGAGAAGGATGGGATATAAATGTTTTAAATAAATAAATACATAAACCAACTAATCTGGCATAAAAAAATAACATATTGTGTGATTGTGGACTTTTTTTTGCATACAATTAATGATTGATTCATTGATACAAATAATCTTTCAGCTTCTTCTGAAAGTGAAAATGCATGATTCAAACTAGTTCAGGAATATGCAAATAATCACTCATATTGCATTCAATGTGTGGGTTTCCTTTTTTTCCAAACTTAGGCCTCATTTACACTGACCATTTAATGAAGCTTGAAGCTAGTTAGCTTCAAACTGCAGAGGCCAGACAACAAACTCTCAGAAAACTATGAAGAAAACCTTTAATGCCCATCAGTGCTATGTGGTTTCTGTAATCAAACTGGTTACAGGATTTCCAATATAATCATCTGCACAGTGAAACCACTTTCTTCAGTACCAATTTGAAACTGCATTAAATGCTCAGTATTGATTGGGCTAAAGACTGTTAGAAACACACACAGACTTTAATCTATTTTGTGTCTCTTTGGTGTCATGGGTATTGGTATCCACTGTCTACAATGACCAATCTCCATTTAGCTCACTATTTAGTTGCTGCAAAGCTACCACCATGGTTCCCATACCCTTCAGTGGCTGTTGGACAGCATGGGAAGAAGCATCTCAATATGTCCCTCTAGCTAACTGCAGAATGATCTCAGTTGCCAATATAATCATTTTATTTCTGGCTATGGAAACATAGGAAGATCTTCTTGGAACCTCCATTTCACTAGCCACAGAACTGGAATGGAGAATGGGTTGAGCTGCAGCAGCCAAATAATAAGTTTAGGGTGCATGGACAATTGTTATACATTGCCATAGAGGAGCTTGCCCAAAAGATGCTAGGTGATGCACAAAAAGGACATGTACTGATTGTATTTAAACAATATGTTTCCTACAGTGCAAGCAAAGTGTTTTCTGAAGTAAATGAGATTTGACTTGAGAACTAGTTGGATTTTTTTTTTACAAAGAGAAACATATATTATAAATTCCCATCCTGATTAGACAATCCAAATGAAATTTCAAATATAGTCCCAGCTAGTGAAATTATTTTTGAATATTGAGATATAAAAAGTTTGTGTATTCATTGTCTGTTTTGTTTTCAGTTCCCTCAGTCTCATCTCAAATATTTTCATAATAGCTAAACATAAATGTATGACTACTAAATAAATTGCACACGTGGTTAAAAGCCCCAAGTTGCCATATTTGTAATGTAATCCATGTGCATTGCTAGAAAACAATAGATACAATTTCCTACTAGCAGGATTCTATTCAAGATAGCATTGATTCAGACCACTTCAGGTACAGAAAAAAATATTAATTGTATTTGCATATCTGCACTGATAGGAACATCCATCTTGAGAGATTGCTTATTTCTTCGGAGACTTACATAAAGACATTAGGATTTAAAATATTTTTTTTTCCTAAATAGTATTCCAGCAGAGTTTCTTGCAAAACACAAGGAGAGGGAGGGGATACATCAATAAACCAATTTTAAGTATTTTTTAAAGGAACCTCATTGTATCATGACAGATATGATCTTAGATCTTCTTGTATACATCTGTATTGAAGGGCAATGGTTGAGCACACTTAGCTGCATTGATTTCAGTTTGGTTTATGCACACTTACCTGTGAATTGGATTTTTTTTCCAGTGAAAAACTATGTTTATTTAAGCTTAAGAAAAGAAATATATTTCAAAATGGCTCTCAAGAATCTGGTCAGTGTTATAACCACTGAGATATAGATATGTAATAAGTCAACATGTACAGTTTAATCTACATTGACCATAAAATTGATTTTTTTAAAAAAAAATAAAAGCAAATTCGGCATTACATAATGTGATCATGGTATATGGGAAGCGTTGCATGACAATATCAGGCAAAATCTTATCTGAAGAAAACTCTGTATGCATAGAGGATTCTTTTCTGTACTTTGGGAAATCCTGCATTACTTAGGTTTCCAAATCCTGCATTACTTTGGGTTCCTAAAGAAGAACTGAACCCATCCGTAGAATGCCTAATATGCTGAGAAAGAGGAATGGGCTAATTTTAAGAAACTCAGCACTGGGCAAGAAAGTTTTTAACCAAACAAAAAAAATGCTTTACTGTGGTTATGTTTAAAAGATTTTAAATGAAATGCAAACATGTAAATGAGGAGTCTCTTTTGTTGATTATCGACTGGTATAATGAAAAGCAGATTTAAGAATGGAGGCTCATGGAACCTTTATTGTGCCAGTCACAAAATAACAGACTTGGAATTCGAGGTGGAGGTAAAGGCTGGTAGTGTAAAGGTCATTTTAAAAAGGAAAAAAAACAGCCCTGAATCATAAAAGAATAAATTGAAATCTGATACCACACTAGTAGATGCCCACTTGCATAAAAATTTCTTCTAGTCTCCCTGCATCCCTCTGAACTGATCAAAAATTTCCTCTGAAGGGTTTCCCAAAAACTTAAGTAGCTTTTAAAGGCATCAAGGAAAGAGAATGATTTATCTCTTAGTTCCACTGGGAGGTACAGTTCTATCAGTGAGTGACAGCCCAAAATCCTTCCTACCACTAAACAGGTGCAACATTGTTTTGTAATTAATTCATAATTAAAACTATAATCAGTATCTAGGAAAGTTTTCATTCAGGTTAAAGATCATGATACCACCTCTTACCACCTCTGTGTAGTTTTATGAGATCAGTGGAACTATCTCAGATTAAAGGCCTAGCTTCCACAAAAAGGAGGGAACAGAGCAAGCTCATTTCAAGGTCTTACCCCTTTGACAGCACATGAAGGTGCAACATGATGAAACATTTTGTACCAGAAACATTCACGCAGAAAGATTCAGCCTATAACCACCGATTCTAAATATTTAACATTCTATTTGTAGACTGTTTTGTTTTTATGTTGTTAGAAGAGCAAGGACATCCACCAGCAATGTGAAATGGCACAGGGTTTCCACTTCATCTGGACTTTGTGAGAACAAAGTCTAACCAGCTTAATATTATAGGCTTATATAGCAGATGGCTTCATTATGCTTATATTTCTCCCCCCCCCAAAAAAAAAAAAAGCTGTTGGCCTAATATGGCTATACCTTGATCACTACAATAAATGTGTGAGAGCAAAATTAAGAATGAGCATGACTCTATGTCAAAAGGGCACAAATATAAATTTGCAACAGTATTTAAGGTGCTTTCTTTCTAAGGAGATACAGTAGCTTCTTTCCATTGTCAGTTCCTTGTTGCTCCATGGTGTAAGCCTCTTGGTTGTCCTTATGTCATTGGCTGTTTAACAAGAGGGCATTACTTTAAATCCAGAGCACCATAAGTTGTCATTAAAAAAAAATCTGGAAACAAGAAAAGGACAGTTCTCTTATTATGATGGACACCTGAAAAGTGTATTAAATACCTCACTGTAGCGTTGGGTCAGTTCATTTTTGTTTCTTTTGCTTCCACTATTACTTAAAGCACAAACTGATTATGCCAAAACATAATCATCCATTTCTGTCTCGACTGTATACTGATGCTTTGTCAAACTGAGATTTAATTCATGATCTCTTGTGACCACACTCTGCTGAAAACTGCCACATGTTTCTTCTGTTGGTTCTTTTGTTCTTCTCCAATGAACCAATCTGGTAAGTATTTATGCCTAGTGAACTGTACTCCAAAAAAGTGGCAAGTGCAGAAACAGGAGATATCAAGTCGTATACTTTAATTTGCTACTGCCAGATGATGTAGCAAGGGTAGAGTTACCAGTAGCAGCAGCAGCACTAGTACTGGCAGCAGAAACACTTGTGGAAGCTGCCGCTTGACTGCCAACATACTGTGGGTCCAAACATGCAACTTTGGCAGCAAAGAATGAGTGGATACAATGCAGGACAGCAAATAGATTGGAAAATTCCAACTCCTGAAAGTGAAAGCAAAAAAGACCAAATGTGAGAGGCAAAACCATTAATTCCTCATATCAAAATATACCATATATACTCATTTACAGCTCGATTTCATGTACATGTTGAGGGTAGGTTTGAGAGCCAAAATTATGGATATTGAAATGATCCATGGATAATTTGAGGGTCATTTTGCAGAGAGGAGAAAGTACCAGTGCTGTTTCAGGGGGGCAGGCATCCCTGCTGTAGCCATTTTCCCACCCATGTATTTTAAAAGGCCAGACATAGTGCCATGGGAAAAAGTAGAGGGATTGGTGCCATATGGACTAAAATCTTGCTTTTTACCACTCTCTAAGAGAAGTAGATGGCTCCTTTTTAAAAAAATAAAAGTTAAGGTATTGTGCTTATATTGACTCATGAATAAGCTGACCCAGGTTTTTTAGGTTGATACTTCGACTAAAATTCCTACAATTATAGATGAGTATATAGGATAGCTAACCACCACATTGTGGAGCAAGAGTAAGCAATTTCATGGAGATGAAGGAGTTTAACTCTCCAGAGGACAGTGGGGAGGGCATTCATTCCTGCCGCCCTCCCAGAAAGATGTTGTTAGGAGAAATAGCACATGAAAACAGTGTTGGGTCCTAATGAATGGCTCATTTTCAGGGATCTCAGAGACAAGCTATAGAAAGCAATGTGTTCTTAAATATCCTATAACTGTAGGATACAGACCTCATAGACTATGGACAGCTAAGACTAAAACATAACTATTTCACTTGTTTATTTGGCATGTGATAACATACTTAAGGTTTCAGTGCAAACAACCTTAAACATATAACAAATTTCATTGCTTTTTTGTTCAAATTCTGAAACCAACTACTGGTCTTTTGGAGAAATGTCTCACAATTTATTATGTCTGCTAATGTAGCTTTTCAACCCAGTGCCCTTATTTTCATTAATAACCAAGTTAATGCCAAGACAATTGGGACATAGACCAGCAAACTACTTTTCTCTGAATTGCTTTATTAAATACTTTTGTGGTAAAGCTTAGTTATGGATCAGAAATTCCTATTTCCTATTCCCAGAAGTGTATTATAGGAGGACTTGAGCTACCATTAAGAATAGTAATACTGAATCTGGTTATTAAACTTTTAACTGAAACTTTATGTTGGATATAGAAAAATTTGATTGACAGCACACAAGTATGATTTAAAAGCTCAGCTTTCTTTTCTGTCAGATATATATATATATATTCCTTGTCAGAATACATCTTACAACACAGAAAGATGACTGGACTACCCCTGACATCTGCAGGGCCCTGTTATAGCCACCAAGAGATAAAATATTCTGTGTAAACCAGTATCTGAATGCTGTAATCAAACACACATGTATAATATAGCTAAATACACAATTGCTCTCTTATAAAGTATGACCAGAGAAGAAATATTAAAGTGTCCTTAAATGAAACCCATACCCAGACTCTTTTGCCATTTTTTTTCAATGTGGAAGATATTACACATCACAGGTTATGGGAAAGCATGTATAAGGATGAATGGGGTAGCACTTTATTATGTATTTCTGAGTAATTCCAAAATGGGCAAATCACGCCTGTAAGGCCCACAAGGAATCTCATTTTAGAACTTCACAGTGTAAAAAAGCAAATGAAAGTGCTTCATGACAGGAAAAAGCCTGGGATAGTACACACACAGGTTAAAGCAGGTTAATCTGAAATATATTGCCACATATGCATGTAATAGCATTTCTCTTCACTCTCCATTTTCCACCCCTGTCATTCCAACTTTGCTCTTTCAAGTTTTTGAAGCTGAGTTGCTTTTATCACTTGTTCCCAGATGCCATTGTTAAGAAAATATTAGGAACCTGAGTCAAGAAAAAAAAAAAGGAAAAGGAAGGGAGGTTGGTTTTAGTAGCCCTTTACAGGGCTAAGCTAATATTGTGTGGAGCACACCTGAACTTTTCTTTCTTTCTTTTTAGATTTATGAGAGATCCACTCTAAACTAGGACCACTACACACAGGTTGGCAAGCCCCCTACTCACACACATAACCACCTTTACCTCTAAATTTGCTTCTAAGTAAATTCACATCAAAGCTATATTTTGGAGAGAAAAAAACAATTACTAGGGCTCTTTTAAATCATGCACGTTCCGCCCCTGAGAATAGAGAATGTTCATCCTGTGTTATTTGGCCATGGTGATCACAATCCAGATCAGGAGTGTGCACATTACTTACACGTAAAAAAGAAAATGGGAATGTTGGCTTAGTAGCACACTTTGAATGTCACAAAATGTGTGGCTAAGACCTCAGTGTACGTAGATTCTGTCTAAGCACAATCTCCTGCTATCAGAGAAACAGGAATAGTCTCATCTGTGTGAAATAAAATGAAGTAAAATGTGCTTCATAATGCCAGCTGGGTAGTTCAGTATTCACAGCATATGTTAGGCCCTGCCAAATCACTAAGCTGAAATGCATGCTTAATGAACTTCTGTATCACCTCTGACCATCACATCCTATTTCTCTATTGAAGATCATGAATTACAATCACCATTCTGTTTCTAAGAGTCATCACAGCTTTCATTACCCTGTATTGGTTTTATGCTACTTAGGTACCAAGGGAAAATAGGTAAATTATTCAAGCCAAATGTGTGTGTTGGTGGCTTTATCCTCATCACATGTGAATCAGCAGCTGGCAGCAATAAGAAAAGGAAACGATGAGAGAAACTGTTCAGATACACACAATAAATGAAAGACTACAGCTATTCAGTCATTCAAGGATTGATTAATGAGTTGACATTTGAGTTCAATGCAATACGTGAATTGACCAAACTATGAAAGCAAAAATAGGTGTCACATGGCCTTTCAGATGATATTAACTGTAAGTACCATCAGCTCTGGCTTTCAAAACAGATCATTAGGAATGTTGCGAGCTACAGTCCAGCAATATTCTAAAGCCTACATGATTCCCATCCTTGTGCTATAATGGCAAACATTAGTCACACTGGTGGAGTGATTTCTATGAGCAATGTCAATAATAAATTATTGAATAAACAGTAGAGCAATGTAAAAAAAAAACCCATATTTCAATTACAGAGATTTTCCAGACATTTTTGGAAATCTGATTTAGATTATTTTTATTGAATTGAAAATCACACTTTTACATAGTATCACCAATTTCTATTGCAATATAATTTCCCCCTTCCTGTTTGGGTGTGTGTGACATTTTTCAGATACTTTCTCATTTTTTATATATCTGTGCAATAACTATGAGCAAAACTAGGAACATGTTGAAATAATCCCTGTTAGTTTTTTATAATGAAAAATGCACCTACTCTACTGTGTATAAAAAAGTGAAACTGATGGGGAATTGGGGTATGAAGAAAACAAAGATTAGTGTGGCATCAGCTGTCATCAGCATGGCCGTAGCCAGAAATTTTTTTGGGAGGGGTTGAAATTTTCGGGGGGGGGGGTTGAAAATTTCACGGGGGGGGGGTTGAAACCTGCCTCCTAGCTCACGCTGAAGCAAAGAGCACAGCAGGGGGCAGAGCAGCCTTCAATAGCCTGCAGCTCCGCCCCTGTCAACCACCTCCACCAAGTCTGGCCTCCTTAATGAGAGCATTCAACACCCCCCCCCCCCCAACTTGGTTGCTTCACTACTGTTCTGTGCGCGCTGGGCCTGTAAATAATTGTCTTTAGAACAGGATGTGCAACCTTTGCCCAGCGGGAAGCCAGGGGGCCTAAAGAGAAGTTCTCAGAGGTTTCCACCACAAACAGTCTTTAGATGGCTTGAGAAGTACAACAAAGTCTTTTATTAATGAACAATCAAACAGAAACTTCTCTTGTCTTCAGTAAAGTTAAGCAAATGATTCCAAGCTTTTAGGCAACTGGTGACTTCCTAATCTTGCCCACGAAGGACAGGCAACTGTCTTCAATAACTTCTTCTTTTATTTATTTATTTATTTGCTTTACTTCTATACCGCCTTTCTCAGCCAAAAAAGGCGACTCAAGGCGGTTTACATAGTAAGGTTAACACAACAATATCAAAAAGCAGTTAAAACACATTATACAAGACATATCAAATCAAGCAATCATTAACATAGACGTGCGCCTCAGCAAACAAATCAAAATCAGAATCCGCAATCATAATCCTTTATACCAATTCCTATGTTCAGTTGTACCATCTTACTGTGTTTCATTGCACAATTAGCCAAACGCTTGTTCATAAAGCCAGGTCTTGACCTTCCTCCGGAATGCCAGCAGTGAGGGGGCCTGTCTGATGTCCACAGGTAGGGCGTTCCACAGCCGGGGGGCCACCACCGAGAAGGCCCTGTCTCTCGTCCCCGCCAACCGTGCCTGCGATGCGGGCGGGACCGAGAGCAGGGCCTCCCCAGACGATCTTAATGTCCTAGTCGGTTCATAGGAGGAGATGCGTTCGGAGAGGTAAGTAGGGCCAGAACCGTTTAGGGCTTTATAGGCTAAAGCCAGCACCTTGAATTGTGCCCGGTAGCAGATTGGCAGCCAGTGGAGCTGGCGCAACAGAGGAGTGGTGTGCTCCCTGAGTACCACTCCTGTTAGCAACCTGGCTGCCGAACGTTGGACCATTTGAAGCTTCCGAGCAGTCTTCAAGGGCAACCCCACGTAGAGAGCGTTGCAGTAGTCTAAGCGGGATGTAACCAGAGCGTGGACTACCGTGGCCAAGTCAGACTTCCCAAGGTTCGGTCGCAGCTGGCGCACGAGTTTTAACTGTGCGAATGCTCCCCTGGTCACCGCCGAAAATCCCCTTTTTAACTTCTCCCAGGCTGACTGTAATCTAACCCTTACTGATGTGGGCTCCGCTACCGGGTCGAACTGCGTCTCGAACACCGAGTGCAAGGCAGTAGATGTTCTCCAGCTGGAGTTCTTTGGTCTTTAGGGCTGTTTTCCTGGAAATTCTTTGGAGACTCTTAAGACCTTTCTCCCGGAAGGTCTTAAGGGTTGAAGCTTTTGTACAGGGGAAGCTTGCACACATCCTATACATAAGCTTACCTTGCTGAGACTAACTAAAAATGGCTCCCTTCCCTTCCCAATTGCCCTGAGCAAGGGGCGGGACCAAAACTTAACAATGATGGACAGGTGACTTGCCCTATGACTGCAACCAAAGAAGCCACCTATCTGCAGAGTCCCTGAAACCTAGGACTGCAAGCAAACATTTAATACAAAGCAAATAAAGTTGGAGCTCCTGGTACAGCTGTACCAGAACAACTACATCGGCTATTGCTGCAAGTAATGACAGTGTGAATAAATTGCCAATATTTGCTTGAGATAGTGCTTGCAGTTCTGAAGGGACTCTTGATTTTTTGCATCTCATAGACTTAGCATGGGGATTTGGTTAACCAGTTAAAATTCATGAGTAAACCAGGTTTTTTTAAAAAAATCTGAAACATTTCAGGGGGGGGGGTTGAACCCCCCTCACTACGGGCCTTGTCATCAGCAAGGCAGATTGTTACACAAATTAAAGATGAATGGGCATTAGTGCAAATTGGCCTCATGACATGAAGTCCATTCATCACTGCCCTGCCTTATTTGGCCCATACAGATGGAAAATGCCAATGCTAAAATATAGAACTAATTCCATTGCAGTCAGGATATAGACTTCAAAGCATAATACTTTACATTTTGGTATGTCAAGCAAGAAATGGAATGTACAAAGTACAGGCAGCTTTATAAAAAATAATACATTGGGCATCAATGTTATCAAGGTTCTTTCTGCCACTACTATTCAGAAATAGAAATACTCAAGTGGTGGTTGCCTTGGAAAAACAAGCTTGACTTTGATTAACAGAAGTTATTTTAAATCTTCAGGCAGCAAGGGACTATCTAGCTTTAAAAATTTGGAATGAAACTTCTGCTACCTCTATTTAAGCTCTATTTTCTGGAGTGCAGGGAAGCTAATAAATGCTCCTGGGAGGTATATATCAATTTTACATCAATAACTATGACTTCTAGAAATTTACACAGAGGAATGTGAATGAAAATCCACATTCAGTGAGTGTTTTTATATTTTCAATTAGCCACTCAGGACAGCAACACAAATATAGCCCCTAAGGAAGAGTCTTAATATCATTCAAATAACATATCCAAATTATGCTCTGACTTCTAGCTTACTCAGAGGTGATTTTCACAAACAAAACAGGCATTTATGTGATGCAACTATTCTTGCTGTTAAATGTACTATGAGAAAAACTCATTGTTATTACAGTGCCCATCAGAACTGACTAATATTCATTCATCTTTATACCATTCATATATCACAAATCTCAACCTGAAGTCTCAAAGGCAAAGCCTGAGGTTCATCATGGGGGGGGGGGGGRGGGTTATTTCAGCCCCTACATGAAGTAGTCCAGTTTGATGCCTAAAGGGGAGTGGCAGAATTGCAGCCTTATCCCAGCACCTTATGAGGGGCAGCAGCTGTCTATAAATTGSTGYCTKCCCCTCATAACTGCCTATTTCATTTTAACCATGACCTGCCTCCCAGCCTCAAGTCAGTATGAGTTTAAGACTGATTGCATCAAAGCCAAGTAGAATTCTTTTTCTTCCCAAGGAATGTTCTATGGGTTTTTTTTTCACCTACCCCATACTGTCACCATTGTGGCCTGGTAATTGGCTTAAGGGTGTGTCTCTTAAATAAATTTATATAGCCTGCAACTCCATCGCTGTCAACCACCCCCACCAAGTCTTGTCTCCTTCATGAGGGCCTTCACATTCTCCCCTGCACTTTAGGCTTTGCTGGAACGATAGATAAAAACTGTGTGAATACATTGCCAAAATTTGTTTGAGATAGTGTTTGCAGTTCTGGGGGGGGGGGGGGGGGGGGGGGGGGGGACTCTTAATTTTTGCTTCTCATAGACTTAGCATGGGGATTGGGTTAATCAGTAAAAATTCATGAGTGAACCAGTTTTTTTAAACTTTAAAATTTCAAGTGTGTGTGGGGGGGGGAGGGGGTGATTCCCTAACACAGACCTCTACATTGTGAGAACTCTCTCCCTAAGACTCAGTTTCCCACTGAATAAAAATTCTAAAGCTTTTAAACTATTCATAAGATTGTCAGGGGCTGCTGTGATTTTATATGCTTTTACGGTTTTAACCAGAATTGTTTTTACTATTAATGAGGTTTAATACTGTTTTAATATTTGTATATTGTGAGCCACTTTGAGTCTCTGTGTGGAGAGAAAAACTGGGACATAAATAAACATAATAAACACAATAATAAATATAATAATAATAATAATAATAATAATAGGTTTTATTGCAATTTTTTGAGCCTGAAAACAATTGCTGAAATAAGAATGTGTTATTACATAAAACATAAAGACAAAAGTCCAATTTTTGTGCTTCCTCTCCATTAAGATTTTTTTTCTTGCTTGTTCTATCATCCATCTGAGAGAATTAAAAACATTGCATTCTTGCTTTTACCTTTGCTTCAATCTGCTTAGTATCTGGATTCTGGAACAAAAATTTGATCTTGCTCTTGCCATCATCTGAGGACCCCTTAAGCTGGGAAAATTTGTACCGCCACAGTACAGCCTAAAGGAAACAAAACATAAACAGATATGCCTTAGCATACAAGACAAAAACAGAGGAACAGTTCTTCTTGGAAACTTGTTAACCTACCAGTGATATAAAATTAAACAAATGCAGTGTTCTCTGGTCTGAAGTATCTTTGATCATAAGGATGTATTACTTTTTGACAGTGTCTGGTTCAGAGCAGTCAGACTGCATTTGTGAAATGTTGTTTGAAATCCTTTTAGCTTCATCTGACCCTGATGTAACAACAAAAAGATGAATAAGGAGAGGATAAAAAAGAAAATAGAAGGAGAAGATCCCAATTTGCACTATGTCAAAATGTGATTTTTTAAAATCCAGGATTCATCTCCCAAAATTAAACATATATCTCATTTTCCTTCTGTCAAGTGAGTCTTCTAATAACAGTAATCTTGGAATGGTTGCCAAAATGGTCTGATGAAGCTTAATACATGTGGATCAAGCAAAAGTGCAGAAACTTTGGTAGTTTTAGTCTGCAATGTTCACCGTCCACACCTTGCATAACTAATACTGAGATCACTGTAATCCAAAACCAATGCTTCCGAACACTGCAGTTGGGCTTTTGTGGCTTGTTGAATGAGAAAGATCACCAGCTGGGTTAATAGCTTTCATTTACCCATCTCAATCCTATTTTGTCCATAGTTTTTGCATGGCAACCTAACCATGAGAATCTGAATCTCAGATAAATCTGAGCATGGCAAATACATCTATCAAGTCATATGTTACATTCCCACCTTATCACTGATAACTGAGAAAAAACTATTTTTAGGCAGAGTGCTATATTATGAGATTAGATCCACACCTTTGAACTGGAGCTTGTACTTTATCTAAATTTTTAAAACATCTTCAATTACAAGTCCCTGGGCAGGAGCAAAACATCCTCTTTCCTTTAAACTAGGTTGTTCATTAAGAATTATGGCTTCAAAGCATTGGCACTAAATGAGTGCCTCAAAAGGCTATATATAAATTTTATCTTTACACCTAGTATCCAAAAATACTGATACATTCCTATAAGAGGTAAATGTAGGCCTCTCTGTTTTAGTCTTATGGAAACAGTCAATCTATGCACAACAGAGGAGAGATGTTGAACTGAGTTGCAGACGTTCAACAGAATGTCTCTCTCTCTTACAGCTATATATGCATTGGGGTTGAAAGTCATGGGTTGGAAGTATATTGCTAAATGGCTATTACCAAATGACAATCAACTAAAATATGCTATGCTGTCTTATCATATTCTTTCATCATATACCCACTGAAGGCAAAATTCATTTTTAGAGCTTTGTATTAGCCATAGATAGTAGGCCTGGGTAACAACGGAAAAATTTCTAAAATCGATTTGTATTTGGGGTTTTTTTTTGTTTCGATATTTAAAATAATTACAAAATTTTCCTTTTAAAAAGTTCGATATTTACGAAATTTCGTAAATGGGAAAAAATTAACGAATCGATTTCCGAAACAATAACGAATCGATTCGTTAATGGTGGACGCGACCACGAAATACGCTAAAAAACCTCCAAAACCTTCTGAAGCTTCCCTCTCCCTCTGTTGTTGACTGTTGGTGTGATATTATAATTTTTTTTCACTAATTAAACCATAAAACTGGCCCAGACATGCGGAAATAATAACGAAATGACCTCAAAACAATAACGAAACGAATACAATATCGAAATACGAAGCATTTACAAAACGTTTTTGAAAATTCGTTTTTTTAAATAATTGCTCCAGAATGGTTCGTTATCGTTTTGTAATTGAAAAAATTAACGAATTATTAACGAATTACGAATTAATGAAACGAAACCGCCCAGCCCTAATAGATAGATGTGTTTAGTGGCTCACTGAGCCATTTTCGGTCTCTCCTGGTCCATTGGGAAGAAAAGTCTAAAGTAACTAATAGTAGATTATTATCTCAAACTCTGTGCAATTTGGCTGAGTCATAGTTTCACATAGTCCTGCAAACACCCTTAGTGCTTATAATTCTGTAAAAAAAAAACACTGCATGATGAAACTGTTCATACTAGAAAATTATAGTACTTTATACCAACTTTAAATGCTAGTTTCATGTTACTGAATCCTGGGATTTGCAGATTGGTGGGGTATTTAGAATCTTCTGATGCAGTTCAGGGGATTGCACTTGAACACTCTACCAGAAAGTTATTGGTACTCCAACAAATTACAAACCCCAGAACCCAGAACCCAAAAGATTGCAGCATGGATGCACTACTGATAAGAGGATATTCACAACATCATCCAACATTTGTGCAACAGCCTAGATTCCTATTCTGTTTTATTTTAACAGAAATTCTTCAAAATATTCACTTACTGTTGTGACTTAATTCAATGTGTTTAGAGATTCCCTTGGTTCATCAAAAATACATAGGGATTTCTAATAATTTGCTACCAAAGCTAGAATAATTACCCTGTAAATTGTTACGTAGATTTAGAGAATTTGCTTTTTGGTATCAGGCAAAAACATTTTGTATCGCTTTCCTGAGGTAGGGAAATTTATTGCCTTCCAGATATTGACAGACTGTAACTCCTATCTTCTATTCCTAGGCTGACTGGGGATAATGTAATTTGTTTCATATCCCACACCAAATACCCTGGTGTGCTTTTATTTATTACATCATATTTCTTTTCTTATAATTGGGATATTTTACAACAGCATTGCATACTTTCTATGTTACTATAAGCCATCTGAGCAGTATATTGTATTTAAGGAAAAGGTGTAGGATATAAGTTTATAAAGCAAGCTATCTAGAAGTGTTTTCCTCCTGTGCAAATGGGAAAAATAATTGCATGGTGAAATCCATAATTTTTTTTAGGTCATTACTAAGCTTAATATGAAAAACTACTATTGAAGATGTAGTTTAAGTATAAACTTATAAATGGTCATGCTGAGATACAAGTAGTGGATATGTGCCTCAGGGAAGACTACAAGTAGGACAAAGTGGTGATAACCTTCTGCTGCTGTTAATCTGAAGAAAAATTACTTGCTTATAGGGTTTTATGAATTCACTAACATTTTCAACCATGGCAATAGCAGCACCTTGTTTCAGTACATTCTTAGGTTAATTAAGTATACTAAGCATTTCATTTGCTTTATGTCTAAATATTATTCTTCAAAGCCTTTTCTTTTTAAAAAATCTATTTTCCATTACTAAAATATCTCAAAATTATTTCTAAAACAGCAATGTTTTAGGATTAACACTAAAATTGTAATTGCATTGTGGGACAGTGTAATTTTATTCTCACATGGAAAAAGGAATAATTTTGGTATGGTAATTTGTTTCCTCTGCTTTGTGAGATTATGATGATTTTTCTGTGATTTTGCAATCTTAAAACTTTGGGTTGTTGTTGTTTATTCATTCAATCACTTCTGGCTGTTCATGAACTCATGGACCAACTTTGGGAGTTTGGGCAAATTCATTTCTGCCAAAATACTGCATGGAATGCAATATATTTTGCACCAAACACATATTATGTCATGCATAAATAACAGCCAAATAACAGTGATTGTTTTTGCCTCCAAACATATTCCACACATAAAAAACACTTGGATGTATATTTGCACAAATATTTTTTTTTCTGAATGAGGTCCCAAAGTATGAAGAATCTTACAGCTGTCTCCTTTACTTTACCAGGATATCTCAATAGTTGTGATGATATTTATATCCTCTCTTTTTCTTAGTTCAGGACTCAAAGTAGCTTCCAACAGGTAAAACATAATTAAATATTCCCAGCATACAAGAATTAAAAAGTAATTAAATTGAAAACAAAATTGAAAGGAGGGTACCAATCTAACCTCTCTGAACAGAGATCCAGAGTATTGGAATATTATTTTTTTCCATTAAGGATGTGAATATTGATAAATATTCTTCATCTCCCTCTTCATTAGACATCATGTCGTGATCAGGCTTTTCAATTGATGCCAAGATGACTAATCTGAGTCTATTGAACTTTGGACATATCATGAGAAAACATGACTCACCAGTAGGAAAAGAGAAAGACCATATTACACATGGATCCACTCAATCAAAGCCACAACCTGGAGACTGTAAAACCTGAGTTGGGCTGTTGATGATACAGGAGCTTAGAGGTCTTTCATTCATGGCTTCACAGTAAGTCGAAGTTGACTTAATGGCAGTTAACAAGAAAGTGTTTTTCAATACTTTTCATTTTATGCATAAGCAAACAATCTTCATTTATTCAAACATGCTCACACCATTAAAATATAATAAAATATAAACATAGGAAAATCAATCAAACATACAAAAGAAAAAAGCGGAAAAGTACATATAAGATTTGGGTGATGTTTCATATAATTCCTGTTTTGTTGTGCCCCTTTGAAAAAATATTTAAATAAGGAATCTGCGCAACAGTGGGTTGGTGGAATTTTTGGGTTTTTTTTGTTTATCCCAATTTTCTTTCTTGGAATGCTAGGACCTGAAAGTCCTAGTAAGCATCAAGGCAGTCAAATGGCATACTGAAATGCTGCTTATTTTTCACACAATTCCTACCCTTGCTTTAATCAGGCATTGCAAAGACAGAAACGTTCACTCAATGCTTTGCTTGATGTGGTTTTAATGCTGGGGAAGAACATTGTATTTCTATGGGCATGTTTACACCAACCACTTAGGTCAGTGTGGAAATGGATCAGCCTTGTGGTAGCTAAATGCCACCAAAAATGGTTTAGTTAACTGGGGAGAAAGGTTTGGCAATGGCTGTCATTGAAATTTTGCTACATTAGAAGCAAAATATATTGGTAGTATTAAAAACTACAACTGTAAAGCCACATTATGGGACATAACTGGAAGTCTCCAAAGCAACTTCAGTAAATAAACAGTAGCAGATTAAGAAAATCTGAGAAGCTATGAATAATGTACGCAAGCAATTACAAAATCCTAATTGTAAATATTTCTACTTAGTTCCTAGTGGAATCCCTCCAAATGTTTGATCAAATTCCATTTAGCAAAAAGAAATAC